TCCTATTCTCATGATCAAATAGGGCATTGAGAATAGCATGATATCTCAAAAGATTGAATGATATTCTATAATGGATTCATATACGAAAAAAAGATTTTTGAAATATTTCACTTTCATAGTCTAATACAAATAAAAGAATAACATTCTAGACATAAATGCCATTCTAAAATAGTATTTAAGGATGAAAGAGGAGTTGGTTTAATTCTTTTTTTCTTTTATGTTATAAATATAATAAAGATAAAATCATATCACCTCATAAGATTAAAATAATATTCTACGAAGTAACTTGAATATAATATAGGTTTTTATTTAATCATCTATATTCCCAGAGATTTTTCCTCTATCATATGAGAATAAGATAAGATTTATTTTAATATGGGTTATAAGTTCCTAATAAAGCAAACCCTAACAATTAATCATATCTTATGAAAATTAAATATACTAATAATACTCTTACGATATTTATATCGGCCTGGACGATCGAGTTCAAAACATAAACTCTAATCAGTATTTCTTAATTAAGGCAGCTGTCATTAGTCGATCGGCTCGGACGATACTTATATCGGCCAGGACGATAGGCTCAAAATAGAAAAAAATAGCCACCATAATCAATTTAGGTATTCTGTATTTTTGGAAATCGGCCAGGACGATCTTAGATCGACCTGGACGATATTGCACAATTATGCATAAATTGATCCGACAATCAAGGAAGAAATTAAGGATGAATTGATACGATCACATCGTCCTGGATGATCACAAGATCGTCTAGGATGATATATTCAAAAACCCTTAGTTGCTCCTTGATGATAAATATCGGCCAACACAAATTCAGGGCAATGTCGATCAGGATCGGACAGCTCGAATTCAGGGCGATGCTCTGGACGATTTTCCTATGATTTGAACTGATCGTCTGGGACGATCGTGAGATCGGCCGGGATGATCAAGCCAATTTTCAATCGTCTAGTTCATTTTCAGAGCGGTGTTCTGGCCAATCATCTATGTTTTGAACTGATCGTATAGGACGATAGTATTATCGTCCTGGATGATCAAGTTGGCAACTTGCATTTATTGAGCTCCTTTGAATCTATTTTATTTAAGAGCTTTTATTCAATATTTTTTAATATCCTTGGCTGATATCTTGACCTGAGAAAACCTAAAGGATAGAGAGAGGGAGAGAGAGAGAGGATCTTGTGAGGGGGGAGCTTGTGAGGGAGTTCACAAGGGTTGCTTCAAGCATTGTTCCACTTCTTCTTCCACTAGAGTCTCTTGTCCTTGGAAGGGTTGGGAGAGGTAAGCTTTAGCGATTGATCGAGGTTCTCTGCCTGCTTCAGGAGGAAATAAAAGAAGTGGGGTTCTCTGCCTTGCCGGGGGTGGCAAAAAGGAGATTTTTGTAAGGGCTTCTCCGCCTAGCTGTGGGGGCTAAAGGAGAGTCACGTTGGTAGTGCAATACTCGGAGGGCACCTCCGGGGAGTGGACGTAGGTCAAGTTGACCGAACCACTATAAACCCTTGTGTTCTTTTTACTGCTTCCGCACTTTAATTTTCCACACTTATTTTTCTGTGGTGACTTTGATTTGTGATATTTATTCTTGTGTTTAAAGTTTTTTTAAAAAATACCAATTCACCCCCTCTTGGTTAGCCTCGGGGCTAGTTCATAGGGTCTAACATCCCTAACGAACTTTCAATTACATCAAATTGGAACAGTTCTTTATGTAAGCGAAAGTGTTGAAGAGTATAAAGCTCTTTCAGATTTCGAGACCTCCCAGAAGTACTTCAATCATTCATATATTGGGCTTTAGTATTTTAGAGAGAAGATTTTATGTTTGAGTTGTCATTTTATTAAATATCTGGGATTACATTCTTGGAGGGTGAGGACTTATGCTTTGCAGTATGCCTAAAAATTTAGATTTAAGATGGGCACTACATAGTAATAACCCAAATCTATTCTAAGCACATTGTACGAATTTTTAAACTTATATTTGCCTAGAGTGGAAAGCCAGCTAAGCCACCTAATTATCTTAAAATTATATTTTTCAGTTTTTATGAAAGAAGGGCAGTTGTCTTTTAAGCTTTTGAAATTTAGGGCCGATGTCTAGAGAAAATCCTAAGTGATCTTGTACTTATGATGAATGGTAGTATGCTTATAGAGATGATAATATTAAATTTTAATTTTACGTTGTTTTTAGCATAATATATGATAGTTGAAGTACCATAAATCATGAATGCATAAAATTTGTGAAAAAATATTAAAAAATTAATTTTTTTAGAAGATTAGATTTCCCAGGTTCAGCACCTCATCCTTATAGGTCAGATTATCTAAACTCTACCCGAGCAAGGAAGTGCATACAATAAGGATAGAAATATGAAAATATGCATGTGACCTCAAGCGATATCAGATTTACTTTCTCACAGTGAATATCCTTTTATGTTTTTTATTCCTAAAACTTATTTTTATATTACGACTAGAAGAATTTTTATTTCTAAGAGCCTAACAAAATTTTAGGCACAAGCATATGCAAGAAATCTAAGAAAAATAGGTAATTTATACTGCGCAAATAATGTAAAAACATCAATTTATAAGAATATAAACATAAAAAATCCATGTGAAAAGTGTCACTTAATATACAACCCAGGGTCTACTGAAAGTAAAAGTGGTGATCAGACTCCACTAACAGTAACCTGCATTCTACACATATGAAATGACGCGAGTATTTTAAAATAAGGTATTTTTATTTCAATCTTCATTTTTTCTTCTTCAGCTTAGTTCTTTCCTCGAGCTCTTTGTGTGTTTACCCTTTTGAGTTTTCAAATGAAAAAAACTCTCCATTAAATGACGTTCTTTCCTCTTTGGACCTCAAATCTTTTATGACAAGGCTTTAGTTTATAGACTTTCACAACTCTTATTTTAATGAATTATATTTTTGAAAAATTCAAATGAGTCAAACTCCCTACATGTTAGTAAAACATTTGAATATGTAATTAATCAAATGATATAATTACAATCTCAATCACTTTGAATATATTGGCTATCAATCCATTCACTAAGCTCTCTAATTTGACATTATGTAGATCAGCGGTGGAAGCTATTTGGATCAAGTGCTTCAAACTTGCAGAAAATAGCTATAAGAATTCTAAGTTAAACATAATCTTCATCATGATGCAAAAGAAATTAGAATGTTTTTTTGAATAAATTTACTCAAAAAGATGCAATCATTTCGAGCATCAACGGCTCAATGATCTAGTATGTGTCTGGTATAATATCTTTGTCAATGTTGCTTTGCTAAGGAGGGATCAAACATGTATGATACATTAGTTGCTCTTTAGGAGCATGCTCAAGAAAAATGAGAGCAATGGATAAGTATATTCGAGATAATAAACCTCACATCAAAATATACTTTTGGTGTAATATTTTAAGACTACTAACTAGCTCAATTATGGTTAGAGGACAAATATAAACTCATTGCCTCCAATCTTAACATAAAGACAAAGATGATCATATCAAACATGAAGATAGATGACAATATTTATTTGTCCTATGAGAAGGATAAGCAATGTCATGAGCAAGCTATCACCTATTTGAGAGGATCCCTCAAGACATCATTTTAGTAGCTATCATTTTATTTGGTTACACTACACAAAATTCCATGGATAATTATTGATCTCTAATAATACAATAATGGTCATTTCATATACACATATTTCTATTTTTGTATTCATACTCATTGATTTAAAATTACATGCTACACATTGTTAATTTTGGATGAAATATCCTTTACATACATGTTATGGACTTACTTCGTTTATTGTAGTGACAAAATATTCCAATATTCAAATTTATCCTTTGATTTTTGTAATTGTTAAATCAAACAATAATCAACGAGCAAGCTTAATAAGGTAATGTACAAAGTGAAAATTTTGGTTTCTTTCTCTAACAGACACAACATTATCACTAATGCATTAACAATTATTTTTCTACAGGCACGCCATGGAGCTTGCACTCACAATCCAACAATGACTATCACGATGAAGTTCAAATCAGATATTTGTCATGAGGAGTATCACCTAAATTCTAAGGCTCATAAAGGAGTTGAGTTTTCTAGAAACTTTAATAAAATATGAGTTAAAATTCACTTCATAGCTTTTTACCTTGATAATGAAGTTAGTTTTGAGAGATGGGCCTGCGCTTTCTTCTCTAAAAATTAATTGAAATTGATTACAATTGGTATTTATGAGAGCTACAATAATGTTATCAATAGTGTGCATTCCTATCTAAGAACTACATTGGTATAATTTTTAAGGCATACAATACAAAAATGACTCTTCAAGAAATGAAATAGAACTAAAAAACTTTTTTAGTGAAGTATAAAGGACCATCTAAATATTATTTAATTTAAATTGCATGTCCTTGATATTAATTTTAACAGTGATGCTAATTTGCAAGAGATGACATCAAACATGTAATAGTTTGATGTAATCGGCTTCCATGCTAACATACATTGACAATTAACTTTGGATTGATGTGTGAGTTATTATAGCTTATGTTCAACATTCTATACACAAGAAGAATGATTAGTTGCATGCGCTTAGAATAGATGTTCATTCTAAAAAGAACACAGCAAGAAGATTCTAGATGAAACAAACTCAATTTTCATATTACTAATGCCATTGAATTATTGTAGAATAATGTAATGCTTGTTATTTTCATATGTTATGAATATTAGTAGGCTATGTTATATCTGTTCCATATTTTTTGTTTGTTGTGATTGCTTCATATTGTATATTTTATATTTAAACTTTTTTGAATCGTGTTATATCATTATTTGGCTCATACTAGATTGAATTTACTTTGTTATGTTCGCTATAATAACTCTTTGAATTTGATTCTTCGAACTATGTTTGAAGCTTAATCAAGAAAATAAAATGCTTAATATTTAATTAGGATTTGAAAATTATTCAATTATTGATAGAAATTTTTATTAGAAAATTATACCCTAGGGTCTTAAGCCCCCTGCGGTTTCCACCCTTATTTCTAAGTTTCCGGCGGCCCTTTGCCTTAGAAACCACCGAAATCCTTAACCGCACCTCCCATAGATTCTGGTTTTTTATAAAACGCAGTCGGAAAACTTCAAACTCATATGCACTCGGACGCCGACGAGCGGCGATTCGAAAGGCCTTGTGAAGCGGAACAAATATGGCCAAGGATGAAGATGACTTCCGAGGGGAGATCGAGGAGCGGCTGATAAACGAGGAGTACAAAATCTGGAAGAAGAACACGCCGTTCCTTTACGATCTGGTGATTACTCATGCGCTGGAGTGGCCGTCGCTGACGGTGCAATGGCTACCGGACCGTGAGGAACCGCCGGGGAAGGACTACTCTGTCCAGAAGATGATACTCGGCACCCATACTTCCGACAATGAGCCTAACTACCTCATGCTCGCTCAAGTCCAGCTTCCGCTTGAGGATGCTGAGAATGATGCGCGGCAGTACGACGAAGAGCGCGGCGAGATAGGAGGGTTTGGTTGTGCTAGCGGCAAGGCAAGCATCACTTCACGACTATAATATCCTCGTTGTTTGTATTTCTTTTCTTCCCTCTTGATCTGCCTCTTTGTGTCCCCGGGGGAGGGCGGTGGACGTTTTTTTTTTTTTTTTCTGTTAATACGGGTAATTTGAATGGGGGTAACGGTGATTTTTTGTTGTTGAAGGGTGAGAATCAAGGTGCTGTTTTTAGATTTAAAGGATCAATTTGGTTTTATTTAGTGCAGGGTTTATTTTTTTCGCTTCATTGACTCGAGTGTTTTTGTATTTGCTTTATTATTTTAAGAACCTTTGTGTTGCTTTTATGTTTATGTGATTTTCATTGTTGATTATCATTATAATGTATCAACATATTATTATTCAACTCTCAAATATAATATACTAATTTTTTTTGTTGAAAATGCATCTCAATTATTTTAAGCTGTTCTAATAAATCATGATTTTTTTTTTTGCTATTAGTGCATTGAGTATAAGGGGAAAGGGCAAGAATAAAAATTGTGATGAATCAGTAAAAAACTGCTTGATGCCTTTCTAGTATTAGGTCACAATCTCTCCTTGAATTTGATCCTTTAGGAATAAATGGAGAAGAAAAATAATAACAAGAATTGGCAATATACTAGGCTGCACAAAACAAGTTTAGTTGATATGAATAAAAAATGAGTTGTACCATGAACAATAGGAAGTAAAAGATTGATGAAGAATTAGGTTTAAAACCTAGTCCTAAACCTTGATTTAAATGATATTAACAATCACTAGTTTGAATCAAAATCATAGACAAGCTAAGCCCGTCTTTCTCCACACTCCTTAATTAGGAGCTCTATCTACTTTGAAAAAAAGTCAAGCAATGCTAGAATTTAGTTTCAAACACTACCTTGGTTTGCATGTCTCCGAGATTCCTATCTGTATGCATTTTTTTGAAAATCCACAATACCTTGAGTCATAACATCTCTGATGAAATGTTATCTTATGTTAATGTGCTTTTTGTCTTCATGGAATACTTGATTATTCGTTACCTGAATTGCACTTTGATTGTCATACAAGATCACAATTTTATTTCTTTGTTCTCAAGCTCTGTAAGCATCCCTTTTATGTATATGCCATTTTTTTTAATCCTTAGTAAATTTTTTTAGTATTTTGCCGTTGTGGTTGATTAGCCACAACATATTGAAGATTTACGTTCCAGCTCATTGTATTCCTGTATACTGTGAAGACATAATCAACCAAAGATCTACTTTTGTATAGATCCCCTACATAATCAAATTCACAAAACCTACAATCTGCTCTTTGCTTCAGTTTTCCTTTTGCATGTTAATCTAGCATCGACTAAACCTCTCATCTATTTAAAGATTCACTTGAAAACTCTCCAATGTTTACATTCTAATTTAACCATATGTTTGCATATCATATGATTACATAAGCTATATTTGGTATAATACACATTGTTGAGTATATGAAATTGCCAGCTGCATTGATATATGGAATTGTAGCCATATATCTTTGATCTTTGTAAGTTAATGGTTGTGAGACTCAGCCTGAATTGCAAACCGAAAGGAGTTGAAATATATATAATAATATACATTCCAAAATTTTCTAGAACCTTTCAAAAATATTTGCTTTGGGATAACTGTAACAAGCCTTTCTCCATGTCCTTTTTTATATCTATACCAAACAATATATCTAGCCTGACCCAAATCCTTCATCTAGAATTGCTTGTGAAGTGTTGCTTTTAATTTTGCTATCTCCATCTTGCTGTCATGAACTATGAATCCATTGTCAACATACAAAAGCAAATATATAACAATGTTTTTGGAGAACCTCTTGTTGTAGACCTACATGTCAAAATCACTCCTTGTACAAATATTGAATAATAAATGAATCAAAATCACTTTGATTTATTGCCGTGAAGACCATGTTAACCTCTTGTAGTAGACCCATAAAAATCACAATCTTTGTATGAATTTGATTGTTTAACCAGTACTATGTTTTTTTGAGAAAACACTTTATTATTTTTTTATTTGGCTTGAAATAAAATGAAAGCAGTGTAAAGCCCAATAATGGTTGTGGCCGTCGGTCTGTGGTGGTGGTGATGGGCGGTCTTAATGATAGATAATTTTTAATGTATTTGAAACCCAACAAAATGTAATGATTTTCAGATACATTAAAACTGAACTAGAGTGTGAATTCTAAATACTTCAAAACATTTCTCTGCATTTCTTTTGTTTTATACCAAACACCATTATTTTCACAGCCCCGCATTTAGAATACTTTACACCCATTTTACTTCAAATGAATTAGTCTCTTACTTGTAAGTATTAAGACCTATTATTTCAATTTCCTTGCTACTAGTACTAAATCCAACTTAAGGAAACAATCAAATTACCAACAATCTTTCATACAAGGTCAAACAAAGATCATGCACAACATATTTCACCACAAAATTGAATTATACAATAACAACAACAAATTAAGCCTTTATTCCACTACGTGGGGTCAACTATATGAATTATTCTTCTCCATTGTGTCATGTTAAGACTTAAGGGTGAAATTTTCATTTAAATCTAATAAAGAAATGTCATTTCTAATATGTTCTAACCAAGTATTTTTAGGTCTACCTCTACCTATGTCATTTAACATAAACCAGATCTAATACATCTACTCTCCTAATCGGATCATCAGAAGGCCGCCGTTTTATGTAACCAAATCATCTAAGGCGACTCTATCTAATCTTATCTTCCTATGGAGCTACTCTAACCTTTTCACGAATATGCTCATTTCTTATCCTTTCTCTAAGAGTAAAGCCACTAATACACCTGATCATCCTCATCTTTGCAACACTTAACTTAATATTATGCTTCTCTTTTAAGGGCCAACATTTTGCACCATAAAGCATAGCAGGTCTCAACACCATCTTATAGAATTTTCTCTTAAGTTTGAGGGGGACTTTTCTATCACACATCAAGCCCGATGCATTCCTCCACTTAACCATCCAACCTGAATTCTATTAATAATATCCTCGTCTATTTTACCATCACTCTGAACAATAGACGTAAGATATCGAAAATATGTATTGTTATTAATGACTTGATCGTTCAAAGTCACAGTCCCCCACTAGATCTATTATTACTAAAGTTACACTCTATATATTTGGTTTTAGATCTACGCAAACGAAAACCTTTAGACTCTATGATTGACCTCCATAATTCAAGTTTACCTTCAACTCCCTCTCTAGTCTTATTAATAAGAAGAATATCATCAACAAAAAGCATACACCATGGTACAACCTTTTATAAATGTCTAGTGATAACATCCACGACTAAAGTAAAAAGCTATGGGCTTAAGGATGATCCTTGATGTAATCCAATAGAAATAGGAGAATACTTGGTTAAACAACCTTTTGTTTGAACACAAGTAAAAACTCTTACATACATATCCTTAATAACTTGAATATAACTAGTATCAATCATTTTCTTTTCTACCATAGCACTTCTCTTGGAACTTTATCATATGCTTTCTCTAAATCAATAAATATCATATGTAAATTCTCCTTATTCTTCCTATACTTCTCCATCAAACCTCTCAATAAATGTATATCTTCCATAGTAGACCTACCCGACATGAATCCAATTTGATTTTTAGAAACATTAGTAAATGCTACATAACTCTCTCCCATAGTTTTAAGGTATGACACATTAACTTAATTCCTCTATAATTCGCACAATCTTGTGCATCATTTTTATTCTTAAAAATAAGAATCAACAGACTCATTCTCCACTCATCAATCATCTTTTTAGTCTTCAAAATAATATTAAAAAGTTTAGTAAGCTAAGAAATTCCTTTATCTCCTAAGCATTTCCACACCTCCATTGAAATATTATCAGGTCCAACAGCTTTTCTATACTTCATTTTTTTAAGGGCTCTCAAACTTCGATTTTACTAATACGCCCATAAAAACAAAAAATCTTTATTTTCATTTAGGATGCTCAGGTCACTAAAGTCAATCGTATTCTCATAATTTTTAATGATAATTTTAGCAAAATATCTCATCCACATTTGTTGATATCCTCTTCTAATAAAAGCATTTTTTTTGACCTTTATCTTTAATGCATTTCACTTGAACTAAATTCTTACTACTCATATCTCCTTGTTTGGCTAACTTATACATATATCTTTCACCCTCCTTAGTATCTAATCCATTATATAAATCATCAAAAACTAAAATCTTTAATATAATATCAAAATTGTATAGACAATTGAGATTACTTGTAGCTTAATCTTAAAAGAAATCTGCATATATATTGATATTAATAAAGGATTTGCATCATATTTCTTATGGGCATTACACATAATTATATTCGGTTAAGAAGATAAACTTAAATGATTTGATTTATAATGAATTCTTTCAATGCTCTCTTTCTCTCTATATATAAATCTACCAATAAGTTAAATAAAATAGATAAACAAGTAAATAAATACAACAAAGAATAGTAAACGAACATGAGAGCACATAGATATACATGGTTTGACAAGGGTTGCATACAACCTGATGAGAGCGTCTGAGACTTATATTTTATTAAAGAATCGCAAACAACATATTACAAGTTTGCAGATCTTACGTGGCTTTTAGATCAAAGATTTATATCTAGTTTCCATAAATGTTTATTATCAAAATAATTTTGATTTAACCTAAAACTGTATAGAGAAATAAAATAAATGATTTCACCCGATTAACATATTATTAGTGCTAGTTAGTGCTCTCCTCCACATAGTTTAAGCCTCAAATACTGCTACTTAGATCTTCCAAAAGTAGGGGATATCTTGGCATGCACCTCTCAGATAGATGAACAAGGACAAGTCCTCTGTCAGACTCTACCTTCGAAGCCTTTCTGATCTCCTCTCTCTTCCGATGGTTCTTCCTTGCTTCTTTCCTTGTTGCTTGCTTGAGTAGGTTTCGCTCAATTTGCCCCACCCGCCTTCATTCAAAAGCCAAAATCTGAAACCCTTGCCCTTGTTCATTAGATGTTTTTATGGTATTAGGTTGTAATTCCTCCTGGATTTGGTCCTCTAGGTATAAATAGAGAAAAAAAAAAGAATAGGTAATTATTAGGCTACGAAAAGAAGGGCTATTTAACAAGAACAAAAAAACTAGCTACACCATGGGCAATAGGATGTAAAAGAATGATAAAGAATTATATTTAAGACCAGGTTTAAGACCCTAATTCAAATACTATTAGCATTAGTATTTATTGTAGCAAAAATGTTAAAGCAAAGGAACATAAGGTACAAGCTTGTTAGAGTCAAATCCTTTAAACTAAAAAGCGGTGGTATAAATGAGCCAGATGTAATGAGCCGTGCCTTTGTTTGGCATGATTTATTAACTTTCATGCCATAAGTGAATGAGCTTAAGCTTGTTAAGGAGCAGCAAAATCTTGTTCTTGTTTGGTTAATTTATTAAGAAGATTAACACAATTTTAACAAGAACTATTAGCCTAGTTGATGATCATGAATTGCATCTATTAGAATTCATAGAATTTGAGAAGGGTAAAAATACCTTCTAATTATTGTACAAAATTATCCCTATTTATAGATCTATACAAGATGTCTTAATAAAGAAATAAATAACTTCTAATTGATACATAATTGCCTCAATATAATCCTTCCTAATTCAGCTACCCAAATATAAAGGCCGTTGGCTCTGATACCATGTTAGAATTCATAGAATTTGAGAAGGGTAAAAATACATTCTAATTATTGTACAAAATTATCCATATTTTTAGATCTATACAAGATGTCTTAATAAAGAAATAAATAACTTCTAATTGATACATAATTGCCTCAATATAATCCTTCCTAATTCAGCTACCCAAATATAGAAGGATATTGGCGTGGTCCAGGTGAGCCTCCCACGGATTCTCATCCTGATCGTGGGATCAAATGCCAAGGGATGACTGAGATTTTGACACTCCTCCTCAAGCTGGAGACCAGCTTGTAATTACTCGCTCAGAGGTAGAGCTGCATTGGTTATAGATAGGATATCAATCACAAGAGAAAGCCAACAATGAAGGCCGATGATGGAAAACTATCTTTAAAATTCCGACAATTAAGGCCGGTTGTGGGAACCTGTATTCCTCAGAATTCCAGCAATGAAGGCCGGTAGTGGGAACCTGTATTTCTCATTATTCCAGCAATGAAGGCCGGTAGTGGGAACCTGTATTTCTCAGAATTTCAACAATGAATGCCGGTGGTGGGAACTTTGTATTCCTCCGAAATTCATCAATGAAGGCTTCTCGGAGAAAATTTTCCATGTCGACAATAAAGGTCGATGATAAAGATTTTCTCTCCTTCCCTTTTTTTAACTAAAAAAGTTTTTTTTTTAATATAAAAAAAACTTTGCCGGCTTTAATTTTAACCGGGCCAAATCCTTTTAAATAGACTTGGTCCGGTTTGGATAGCTAGGGCAAGCGACCTCTCAGATCGGGAGGGCAGACTCCTTCGTCTTCTGCGTGGGTTGTTCGACTGCGCTCCTTTGACAACTTTCCTTTTCTGTTAGAGCAGAACCAGGCGGCGGCGCCGTAAGAGCTAGGCGGGTGTCGGGATCAGGCTTCCGTGTGAAAGTCTTCCGGTCGGCAGCAGGTTATGAAGCTGCTATTGTTGGCGGCGTCTGGCTGCGATAAGGTTCCGTCTAAGTAGGTTTCTTCTTCTGTTTTTTCTCCTCTGACAATCTAGGATCGTTCTTCAATTGGCAATGAAGGCCGTTGGCTCTAATACCATGTTAGAATTCATAGAATTTGAGAAGGGTAAAAATACCTTATAATTATTATACAAAATTATCCCTATTTATAGATCTATACAAGATGTCTTAATAAAGAAATAAATAACTTCTAATTGATACATAATTGCCTTTTAATTGAAGGATTTTGATTCAATTAATCTATATTTGACAATCAAGGTCACGTTTTCAACACTTGGGCTGAATCGAAAGTCTCATTAATTTTTGTATGGAAGTAATTTATGAATGTATTATTCTCAACTTCCTCTAGAGCATATCAATTTTTTTGGGGCTGGCTGAGCTTGCGTAAATTTTTTTGTTTTTGGCTTTTTCTTCCACAAACGTATGAATTTGTAAATTTTGGTCAAACGTCTATGCATCATAATTTTATCTTTATCCTAATGTTGTTGGAACTCTTGGAACATACATGGCTGAACTATTTGTTTTAAAATGCCTTCATTACTACAGTCCTACTCTAGTGGTTGAAGTTGCTTGCGATGTTCCTAAATCCTTTTTTCAATTTACCCCAACATTATCGTCATCCTAATTCTTAATTCAACAATACTCATGTTTACTTTTGGATGCTGTAGACACTCTAATGTTCTGACAGCATCAATGTTGGGGGAGGGCAGGAAGGAAAGACTTTTGTGATATGTGATGGGTGGATGCTGTTTGTATTGAAGCAAATTGCGAACTTGTTTTAACTTGGATGCTTAAACCTTATTCTTCATGCCATTCATTAATTTTTCTTCTTGAATTTAGAAATTTCATTGACTTGCCTCATGGCCCTCATCAGAATCACTTCTGGCATTTTTCTGCTTTTCTTATATGGCACAGCTGAATCAGACAGAGAAGCATATTGCAAAATCACTGTTGCAGAATAATGACGTTTTGATCTATGCCTTCTCAACTTGTAGAATATTATTATTTAATGTTTTTTTTCCTTTTATGCATGATTTGTTCTGAAAGCTTATCCTTTTATTTTTTAGGTTTTGTTCAAGATGGCTCCTTAAGATTAGGATTATAGGCAATATCTAATTTTTTGCTTGTTTGCCAAGTTTTCATCTAATTTTTTTTCCCTTTCAGGTTATTGCGGGATTTAGATTATTATTTTGTTTATTTTTGGACTTTTATTCCTTGTTAAGTAATTTTCTACTTGAAAGTAGTGCAATTATGAGCCGCTTTGATTTTATTTGGTATAGAGTAGCACTTATGGGTGTTACGGCTACTATAATATTGTTTATTAAGCGTGTTTCTTTGAGAGAGAAAGCTATAATATTTTAGTTAAATTGAAAAAGCCACCTCCACCAATAGTGTTTTCCAGAAATTTGAACTTTTCAGGAGATTGAAAAACGGAAGCATTGGAATGTCGGTAATAGCAAGGTAGTTAAAACCCACCTAAGAGTATATGAGAATTCGAATGTGATTATATGTAGTGGGTTTTTCCTCCTTTGCATATTGGGATCATCATGCATTTCTTATTTCTTTGTGTCTACTTTAACGTATTTTATCACTGGAGTCTCATTCTTGTGGTTCTTAAATTGTCATGCCAGGTTCAAATAATTCAGCAAATAAATCATGAAGGGGAAGTGAACCGAGCTCGATATATGCCTCAAAATCAATTTATTATTGCTACAAAAACTGTCAGTGCGGATGTTTATGTATTTGATTACAGCAAACATCCTTCAAAACCTCCTCTAGATGGTGCATGTAGTCCTGATTTGAGATTGAAGGGCCATACAACTGAAGGTTATGGTTTATCTTGGAGCGTCTTTAAACAAGGACACCTATTGAGTGGTTCTGACGATGCTCAAATATGCTTGTGGGATATCAATGGATCCCCCAAGAATAAGTCACTTGATGCTCTTCAGATATTTAAGGTCAGATCATTTTTATAGGAATGCATTATAGATTGTTTTTTATCTGTTCTACTTGTTCCCCTTTGTTCTGTTTGCTTATGATATGTTAAGAAGTTTTATATTGGAAGTGTTATATTAAGAGAATACTTGGTTAGGAAGATATATTTTTATATTTTCATAATTGTGTATATTCATCAAGACTTTGTTAGAAAGTATTAGAAATACTCTTTTTTTATTAGATTTAAATGAGAATTTGACTAAGGGTGCGTTTGGGACGGCGACACTGCTGCTTTACTTTATAAAAAGTTATTAAATCGTTGTTTGGGGCATTGCGGTAGAACCGCGGCAGAAAAAATTCACGGCACGTAGTTGCTTCCCGTGACCTTTCACTATCTCCCGCGGTCCGTTGCTTTCGGCATAAAAAAGACGTAAATCCCCCTGCAAATATTCGCAACCGTCGTCCGAAGCCTTCCGCACCGCTTTCGACTACCTCCGTCATCCTCCTCAAGCTCATCCATCTCGAATAACCTAGCTCTCCCTCGACATGGCCTCATGTCAGATCCTCGCTTCCTTACTCCACGCTTCCTCTCGCCATTTCTCATCTCCCAAATCCTCCTTCCCAAATCCCAGACCTCCCATTCCTTCCCCGAACTCTCGCAGGGAAAGAGGGTGTTGAACACCGGATCATCGATCACCGTACCCGTGGGTAGGTCTACCCTTGGCCGCATCATGAATGTTATTGGAGAACCTATTGATGAGATCGAGGGGAGAAATAAGGACCAATCACTTCCTTCCTATCCATCGTGAGGCTCTTGCCTTTATTGATCAAGCAACAGAGTAGCAATCCTTGTTACTGGTATCAAGATTGTTGATCTTCTTGCACCTTATCAGAGGGGTGGTAAGTAATATAAATAGTTATTCATGATATGTAATTACATATTAATTTTTTAATTTAATCTTAAAAATATATCCTAGTTATATTATTATTAGAAAAAGTATGTTTAGTATGAAGTATAGGGGTGTCAATTATTGACCCGACCCGATAACCCGACCTGAACCCGACCCGAAATATCTGGGTTCGGGTAGACCCGTTTACCAAATGGGTCGGGTTCGGGTTGCAGTTCTTGACCCGTTTGAAAAGTCAGGTCGGGTCCGGGTTGACCAGCTAACCCGACATTGACCCGAAATATGAAAAATGTCTTTGTCTACCGGGTCAGTCCGCACTCCCCATTCGCAAACTTCGCTAAGTTCGCTCGTGCTCCCGATTCCTTTTCCTACATAGTTACATGCATCTTTCGGCACACAGCTAACGAAATACTGGATCTCACATTCTCCCTCCTAACACCTACAGCCACAGCCTACACAATCTCTACCTCTACGTTTGCTCACCAAAGATAGCCACTAAAGGCCACTACCAGATCTGAGATCTCCCTCTTCATTTGCTCGCTAAAGGCCGTCGCCGTGGAAGCTATTGGCACCAACGTGTACACCCCGCTGCTGCCAACGCAAAGGCCAAGGAGCTAATTGTTTTTCCCAAGGTTTAAAATTGCATAAATAAGCCTCGAGGCGTTTTTCGTCCGTGAGGCGAGGCGTAAGCCTCGAGGCGGTGTGACGCGTAAGCCTCACCGACGAAGAATTGCGTAAATGAGAATTTAAGGGTTTTAGCAAGTAAAAAATAGTAAGATTCTATTATACAATAAAAACATCTAAATAACAATTAAAATTAGGGGAAAGTAAGGAAATAGATGCAATAAAATCATGTCCCAAAGTACAAAATCACAAAATATTAGTCTATCAAAACTCCCAAAGTATAATTAAGAAAGAACATATATAATCTAATCATGTCCCATCACTAAATGGGTCTTCAAGAAAATCTTCTCACCTCTTCCTCCCTCCTATAAAGTCCAATATCTTCCAATCGAAACATGCACTCATGAAGAAGTAGACTAACACTAACAACTATTACTAAAGATGATGAATAGAATAATATGCCGGACTGCCGGGGGTCCAAGGGGGCGCTGCCCCTTGGCGGGGTTCGACCTGCGGGGGTTTCAGGGGGCAGCGCCCCCAGAACAAAATTTTATTGTAAGAGTAATTTTGAAGTTCTATTTGTTTTTGAAGTTCGTAAGATATTTTTATGGGAAGATACCGAGGGGTACCGAGCATGTTCCTTAGCAGTACTGAGCATGTACCTAACGATACTGAGCGGTACCGAGCATGTACCGAGCAAATACCTAGCTGTACCAAGCATATACTAAGCGGTACCGAGCATGTACCTAGCAGTACCGAGCAAATACCTAGCTATACCGAGCATATACTGAGCGGTACCGAGCATGTACTGAGCGGTTTTGAGCATATATTTGAGGCGTACGCCTCAGCCAGAATTGCGCAATTGCGCCTCTGAGGCGCGCCTCAGTCCTCTGCCAGGAGAGCAATTGCGTAAGCCTTGAGGCGGTTTTGGGTCAAATTGCGTAGAGGCGCGCCTCAAGGCACGCCTCTTATTGCGCAATTTTAAACAGAGGTTTTCCTTCCCGCTGCCGCCAAGCCCTTTCACGTCACCACTCACCAACGACGACAAGTTTTGTGAAGCAGGTGGCTTGCTAAAGGCCGTCGCCCCCAATGCCCTATGCTGTTCACTGGGTTACAACGCGTGGTGACAGGGACGACCGGGCGAGAGGCATTGGCCTTTCCTCATGCGGTTGGTGTTCGGACTCAGCACGACAGAATTCACGTTGTCACAGTCACAGTCGGGTTTGCGATCCTCACTTGCATCACGAGTCGCGGGTCGAGACGGGTCGGGTCAACCCGATAACCCGCGCTGGTCGGGTTCGGGTTGAAAAACCTAACCCGTTTTTATAACCGGGTCGGGTTCGGGTTGGCCCGTTTAAACCCGGGTCAACTCGGGTTCTATCCGAATCCGACCCGTTGACCCGAATTACACCCCCCTAATGAAGTATAATTTTTTTCCAGATTATTTTAAAATATGATATTACATTATAAAAAAAGATTATATTATGGTATTTAATAGTTATAAAATATTTCATAAAAATTGATACAATTTTTTATTTAGAATTGTTATTTATTAGCATATAAATTTTAGAAAAATTTGACATTTAAGTTATTTTTTTTCATCTCATTATATAATGGTATAAATGTAATTTATTCCCATACAGCTGCAGCACAATAATTTGACAGTTATACTTCCCAGACAAAATATGCTGTTTTCTATACGACAATTTTTGAAAGCATCTTTCTGTACATCAATTTTGTAACCTACTTTACCGACTGCTGTAGCCGTCCCAAACGCACCATAAAGCTTAAAGATGTTGTTGTTATTGTTGATAAGTATGTATATTCTCTCCTTTATTAGTTTTATTTTTTTATTTGTTTTATATGCCTACTTATGTTGACATTTGTACTGAAAGCTCTAAAAAAATTGCAAAATCCTACCTACCTGTCTGACCACGAACCCGTCACATTGACGACGTAATCCGCACATCCTACGCACTACCCAACATCACCTCCCCCACGATCTCTTTGCGTCGTTTTTAATTTTTTTTTAATTTTTATTTATTGATTTTTTATCACTTTGCGTCGTTAAAAGGCCAAAGGTGGAAGGTCTTGTCGCTCTTTTCCCTCCCTCTCTCGCACACTTCTTCGGCTCCCTCGTTGCTGTTCGACTTTGCACTTTCAAAGACTTTCCCTTCCTAGTGGATCGAAAGCTACGACACTTTCATTAGAAGCAAGGACGGGAGCTGCTCATTGCGAGGGTAGCCATCTATCTCCGTTTCGCGTGTCTCTTCGGCTTCTTCGTTGCCGGTCGACCTCGCCCCTTTGACGTTATTCCCTTTTGTCAGATCGAAGGCAGCGATGAGAGATTATAATTTATAAAATTTAATTATTATTATTATTAATTAATGAATTATAATTTATTAAAATCAATTAATATTCATTAGTTATAATTATTTACAAGTTAATTATTACTTATTATTTTAATTAATTTTAATAAGATTTAATTAATTATTTTAATAAATTATAATTAATTATAAGTAATTAATTAAATATAATTATAATTAGTTAATTAATTATAATTAATTAATTCAAAAAAAAGAAAGAAAGAAGCAAATCTGCCTTCTTTTAACTTGGTGTGCGTGACATGCCGGTCAACCACCTATACACGCTTTTCTTAGTGTGGTGGGAGAAAATATGGTGCGACACATACAACGAGGTAGGTGAGCAGTCCTCGACCCTAAAATCCTGTCCTCGGTGTGTGATGAGTCGGCAAACCGCATATACAGTTTTTCTTTAGCGTGGTGGGAAGGGAACCCGGTGCGACACCTACAACGAGGCAGATAGGCCCGATGCACTTTTCTTAGCGTGGCTGGGACAACTTTAAGTACCCGTATGGGGCTCTGTGTCTGCGAGGAAACAATTGCTTTTCTTTTACAGCAGGTACCAAAGACTTATACACGCCTTTCTCTAGCGTGGTGGGATTGAAAATTTCACTGCCGCGGTGTCCGATGACACCTACTGTACACGCTTTTCTCTAGCGTGGCAGCAGGGCCAGTTTTCCTTAGTTTCCCCTAAACGGAGGAGATGCTGGGAGGTTGCCGAAAATTCGGGTGAACATAAGGCCGCACTTGAACCTGATTTGAACTCAAATGACAACATGACTTGTGAACTTGAACTCAAACAAATTAAGCAAAGAACTTGAAGATAAATATGATCTGGACCTAAATGAATTCGAACCTGAACTTGATTTGTATATTAAGAGAATATGACTTGGGCAATTCGGACTCAAATTCCAGTGGACATGACTATGCTTGTACATTGAACATGAGCTGGAATTGAACTCAAGCAAAGAGTTTGTACTTTGATTACAAAGGACTTGGACTCGAATTCAAAAGGGAACTACAATGAGCATGAGCCAAACTAGAACTTGAACGCAGGGGACTCTTGGACTTGATCGTTCTCAAAGAACAACCCGAGACATACAACTTGAACTTGCTACTTGAATGACA